ATGGTAAAGATTAAATTTTCCCCTCACTCTTGCACTGTTGCTTTTTTCATCTGATGAAATCAGTAAAAACAAGACATTAAATATGACAAAGGAATTCTATTACACCAACCATGAAATTCTTAAAGACCCAAAGGTGATGAAGAATCCTAGCCACTTATAATACTGTAAAGGGATGAAATTTGTTGAGCCCGAGTTTTCACAAAAGGTTTTCCAAGCATTGAAAATGAAACAATCTCAACTGTTAGATCAACTAGCAAAAATCATATAATCAATATTAGTAAAGATTAAGACTTTCTAGATTTTGAATAATGATAATTATCATAATCTACTTGGAAAAGTTTTACTGGAAACTTAGTTTACCCATGCAACATGTGCATAGCAAGATTAGCCAGTACATCTGTGACATTCATCCAAGATATATTTTGAAATTTTCCCTTAAACTGATGGTTTTGTCCAGATTGAAAAATGTGCAAGTCCATTCAACAGATTTAGCATGGCAAGGATTAATTGGTGAATCAATGGTCTATTTTCAGTAAGCAACAAGTCTGAAGTCTCTGTAAAATGTGTTCCCTTGATTTTCTAGTATTTTACAGCAATAGATGAAGATTATGACCAGGAGATTTCATGAATGTTTAATTATTAAAGGTGGTAATTAGTTAGGTTCCTTGTACATAACCCTGCTAAAATCAATGCCAGTGTTTGCTTTACCTCAGTTCTTCATAGGTACACAATCAATATCTAATAGACCATGAAACAATTTCTATATTAACTTTTACCATGTAGGTAAATGTGTGAAACAGACTAGACATACTTGAATTTTGAACTGATATCTTCGATATTAAAATGCTAAAATTAAACAGCAAAAAGAAAAAAAACTTTGTGTTAAATTGCACAAAGGTAAAAAGCTTCTAATTAATGCTATGCATTAGGATCTGACAGGCACCAATAGGAGGTCACCTTTGTGTGACCTTTCAAAAAGCCAATGATTATCGAGCTTTCACAATTTTGAATCAGATGTACATGCAAGAAATAATTAAGTAGATCTGAAAATTAGTCAGATTGCACAAAGGTACATAATTATGTCCGTCTGCGGGTTAATTCTGGTAGCTGCAGGTTAATTTGTGAGTAAAACTGTTCATTTTTATTTTTACTGAAATTGCATACCAATAAATTAGTTATATCAATTCCTATCATCTAAAGCACTCTAATTTCATTCATTCAAAAGATATGGAAAGTCTAAAATATTTTTGATGTATTTTTTTAAAGTTATACTACAGTCAATTACATTCAAAATAGAAAACTTAAAGCTGTTAAGTACAGAATTGACTTAAGACCATAAGGCAGAAAAAATAATTTTTACTAAGCAGATACATCATTACATAATTAAGATAATAAGAGATTTTTATTTTTTTTATTTTTACAAGTATTTTCTAGCCATACATAATGTTCAGCTGCCTTGCGGTAATTTCTGTGTTCCAAATCCCTATTTACTACAGTATTTGCATAAGTATACCAAGATCATTTGACTTTTCTTCAAATATGTGTAAATTGCAGCTGTCCTTTGATTTTCCCAATCAGTTCAGGTATTAAACCAAACATAAACTTATCTCTTAAAAATATCTCTTTCAAAACGAGATAAATTTTACCTACACCCTTGACATATAGGGACTAAAGATGATAAAAGTTGAATTATAGCATTTATATGGCAGTGATTATGACTCTAACAATTATCTCTAATAGTTCAACTTACAGGGGGTCTAAACATTTTTGTATAAAATCTCTACCTTACATATTTATAGAGAAACTAATCCTATGTTAGTACAGTCATGATATTTAAATTTCCAAATGTCTTGAAGGTCAATGACAATGAAATAAAAAAATTGTCAATCAGCATAATTTGGCAAATATAAGACCATAAACGAAAACAATCCTCTTTAATATGTACTTTTCATTTTGCAAAAAGAAAGATGCTTGTTTGGTCAGTACATTCATCATTAATTTGTTTTTCTATTGCTTTTATTTATTCATTTTATAAATTCTATTTATTTAGATTTTATTTACTTATTTTTTTTTGGTTGGGTTATAGTTAAAGGTTATATTGTCACTGCAATGTATAATGATGACAGATAAGTTTTGCTGGTGAAGGAACGCTGAATGCATCTTCTCCTTCTCAACATTACAGGCAAATGTGGGCACTTTGATTAAACTAACTCATTTATATAAAATTTAGCCTTTGGAATCTTTTGCACTGAAATCCATAATTCAGGCATCTATCAAAAATGTGACCACTAGTGTTAACAAAACTAAATGTGGATGGACAAGGGACAACATGCAAGTATATCGCATGGCATTTAAGAATATTATAATTATGTTAGACAGATATTGAAATATCTGATGATAGTATTTAAAGTCTTCTAAATCAAAATTTAAGTTTCTTATTTAAATTTTGGATAAAATCATTTTAACATTTCATATATTCATATATATCTTTCAGTATAGGTTTTCCGAGTTTCAATTAAGCTGTCACTTCAAAGGAAAAACAATGGGATTTGTAATAATCATGTTTTAAAGAAATTTTTTGAAAATTTAAACTGAAGTTTTAAAATGTAAATGGAATCTATGACAGGTGTTTGAATATAAATATACAGTGGGATCCATTTCTTTAACGATCTAAAGAAATATCTTGTATAGATTTCATTTACCTAACATTCCCACATTGGCCTGTGAAGTGGAAATCAATTTAATATGTACATTTTTCTATTCAATTGAATAACCTAACCAATGAAGTATCTAACTAGATATGTAAATATTACATAAAAAGATTACAATGTATCAACTGTACTTTAGTGCCTGATAATTAATCGACACCTACGTTTTAGAATAAAGATAGATAGCGAATGATTTTATTAAACCGCTGTGAAATTTAAAGCCCTGACATGTCTAACAACTTTCCCTTATGCTTGAAAGTGAAACCTGTTCTTTATATTGATTAGAAAACCAATGCATTTTAATAGGCCTTTTTTATCATCTGCAAAAATACCAGTTGGCTTATTTGAGGGGAATATTTAGGAAAATTTTTGATTTTTAACAGTAAAATTAAATATTATGGAATAAAGCAATGTTCTACACATTAAAGCTGGGGTGAGGGAGGCGTATTGGCTAGGGGCCTAAATAGAATATCCTTTTTAAGGATCGTGTTTTCATGTAAAACGATAGTATCTCAGCAGCCATTTCAACCATAAATTTTGAGAACTCTCAATCTAACAAACTAAAGTCTTAAATGATTCTGATACTTATTTTACATCTTAGTGGAATACTTTATCTTTATTGTTTTGACACTCATTACTTATATTATTTCAAGCTATATATAAACAGTTACTTTACAATACCCATATTATTTAGACTTATCAATATAATCTTAAAGCTTCATGTAATACACCAAAAAGCAGTTGGTCATTTCTTCTTTTTGACCATTTTTCTTTACAGAAATTTAATTCCCCACAAGTAAAACATTATGCATGTGCTGCAAATTTAAAACTTTCTAAGAACTGGGAATTTAAGCATAATTTGGCCATGCTACTGACCAGCTATCAAGTTAGTGCACTCTTGACCATACATTTCACTTTTCCTACATTGTCATCGCTTGTTATCAGTTAAAATTTGAAAATATGTATTGACTGAATAGTGAACAGTTGAGACCATGATCTGAGGGCACGGATATGCTGTGCTGGTTTATCTAAGTATGCTCTGGTCGAGAGGCTATATTCAGCTGCTGCCAACAGGCTTAAGGTTACAATCAATGGGCTACTAAAGACATGCCTCCCTACACGAAATCAGCAGGGATTTAATATGTAAGTAAATATAATGTTTTCCCAATTATTATATTAGAATCTTCTGTATTTAATCAGGATTTAAACATTCAATCAGAACATGTCTCCAAACATCAGTTTTATTGACACTGACTATTCTGAAGATAATGCCCCTACAGCCTATCATAATGATATAAAGCCCATAATTTCTACATAAATCTTGTATATTGATAATTTCCCCACATTTTATATGATTTATCACAAGAATAGGTGACTAAAGTATGTCACTTGGCTTTCAAGACAAACATTAAACTTGATAAAAACCAGGTTTTATTGGTCTGGAATTTTAAAATTCATCGATTTCTTTTGTAATATTTTTACCTTTTCTAGATGTTATTATACTTAAATGCAGGCTCTTTCAATGCATTCAATTTTTTCCCATTTAAATTTGTTATCACCCAATAAAATGCTTTTGTTAAAATATATATATGTATATATACATTTATGCAATATTGGACAAACTTGCTAAGTAATGTTCTTATTACTATTTTTTTTAACATTTTCCATTAATTTATTTCATTTATTTTTTTTGCCAAGGGAAGTAACTAAATTAGTCAAACAACACAATGAAACAGTCTTGCATCTCTTATGTCCCCTTTCAAAGCAAATTGTGAAAACATGTCTTTTCTGCTATCTGACACAATATTCAATATTATTATCTTGATGCCAGACTACACATAGGGATGTATCCAGTAGAATAATGAAAACAATGGTGTCAGCATTACACTGGTTAGTCTATCCATGACAGTGCCACAAATACTGTACTATAGTCAACAGACAGTGGTCCTCTATTCTTTTACAGGCATATGAATAAAACACATTCATATCATTTTAGTTTATACAAATTTATTTTAGTTTGTGTTGGAAGCTATAAACTTATTGAATCATTTGAATCTGTTCCTGAATTCCAACGAGTACTTAAAGCAATGAATGTAAAGTTTCTTGCTCAAGGAAACAACAACTTGCCCCTGACAGGGTTTGAACCCATATCATTTTCAACAGTCGAAAGAAACTTCAACTCATAAAGGAAAAGATCAATAATCTCAAAGACACAATTAACTAACTGCTTCTATGAAACAATGACATACAGAACAACACTAGATGGGTTTTTTTTATTACAAAATAATATACCTTCCATCTGATTTTCTTGTTTGGTCTGTAGTGTTTTGATACTTTCACCATGTAGAAACTGCAACTTCTTTACAGCAACAGCATGTTCTTCTTCTAACCGGGCTATATATACCTCGTGAGATTTTCTTATCTCATTTATCTCTGACGCTTTCTGTTCTTTCACTGTAAAACAAATCATCAAAATATAACACAATTTGTACACTCTTTTAGAAAATAAGATGAAAGGGAGGGAAAATTGACATTACATACTTAATTATTATGTAAAACAAGAATATACCATTGTGTTAAAAGTCCATGCTTATTTGACAAATATAAAAAAAATTATGACATTTGTATGAAGCAAAGTAGAAAAATCTATTTTTAGATTCTGTGACCTCTACCCTATCAACCCAATCAAGGGTAAATGAAGGTACAAACACGCTAAATATCTCATGTTGTTGTTTTTAAATGAAGATGGTATGAAAATAAAAGAGAATCAGCTCAGTGTAAGATTATTGTAGTTGTATAGTAAGTAAAGAGACAGATACAATAGTCAAAATGTGTTTTAATTCAAATTCTACATTACAGTAAAAATGCACAGTATTGATTGTATAAATCCCCTATAAACAAAGTGTCATTTGTACCCATTTATAAACAGTCCCATTTAGTTTTAGTGGGTGGGCATCACTTCTTGAAAATCTGCTAAAAGACCTATAATTAGTCTTAGCAAGTATACAATATTAGCCAGATAAAAATCAGTTTTTGTAAGAATTTGGCCTATTGTTTCATGTGAAACAGTCACAAAATGATGTTAAAACTGATGTAGTAAACTAACAAAACTGTCACCTGTTTTTACTTTAAACATCCCCTGTTTTTTTTTACTTTATACATCACTTACAATCAATTTGGCTTTATTTAAAATACAATCCATGGCATTCTGAAAGAACATAGTGGGTAAAATTTATCAATGTTCCTTCAGAGACTTACAGTAAATAATCATAGAATTTCATATAAAAAATGCAATCAGATAACACAGTGTTTTGTCAGTGACGCTTAAATCATTTCATTAAACTTGAACTTTCTGTGAGTAGTTTAAATTGATATAGATGTTTAATTATGAAACTATCTAGGTTGATTCCTTTATCAAATTCTTTATCTACAAGGTTCCTATCTTATCTGAGTGGCATTTGATACACATCATACTGGAACGGTACAACTAAGAAAAGGTAACTCTTACATATCAAGCAATACAAATATATTACAATTACTTCCCTTTGTTATACTGAAAATCTGTAAAATAGCTATAGTAAGAATATTAAGTTTTGAAGAATGTAATATCAAAGTCTATATTAAGTATCTTAATAATTTCCTGGTCAAAATATTCTACTTTTTCTCTTGAAAGTTTAAAGTGGATAATGTTATTTTATTGAAGTTTTATAAAAAGTTAACCATGGACTGAAAGTATACTAAAATCATTTAAATTACTGTATTTCATTAAATGATATCTACACATTATAGGTTATCTAATATTGAATTCTACAATACAGGAATATAATTATTTGGATGAGTACATAAATTAATATATGAAAAATTCCCAAAACCAGTGGAACACAAGAACATAAAGACTAATAAAAATGTTAAAGAGAGAAATAATAGCAGTTATATCTACAGTTTTGAAGGCAGTAACAGATTTTAAGCTATTTTGGTGCCTAATTCTTTTTTTTTTTTTATTCTTTACCTTACAGGTTACAGGTTCATGTGAACATCATTCGCTGACAGTTAACTGCTCTAGTTGGATGATGAATGAGTCTTATTCTACAAGTAACTCATTATCAACTTCTCCACATGCAATTATTGAGTAAATGGTAAAAGACTTGATAGCCTTTGTGTTGGTAGTGGTAAAGCTAAACCACCCAATAGACGGAAGAGTGACACAGGAGCTAGTGTCTGACTTAATAATTAGTCTTGCACCAAGTTATCCACACAGATGCTACTTTAAAATTATTGGTTAAATAAACTCTATTGCAAAATAGACTGGCAGAATATTTCAAATTCAGGCCTTCTCATTGGACCTAAAGAGTAGGGCAATTGTGCCAAAGACTAATGTTTGTTTAATGTATCTATTGTTTTGACTATTATACATGTTATAATGTTCCAGTGCTTGTGATTATATTTCAGTTAAACGAAAGGATAAGTGCCCCTTAATTTTTTCTAGGACTAACCAAGTTTAGTAAGTTACTACCAACTGACCAGTAGTAGATGAATAATCTTCTTAGTCATTAAGTCTTCCACTAAACTGTCACATAATTAATGACAGATTTGTTTTGTATCTGAGGACAAAAAGCCTAATGTCCTCGCTAACATCTGGCTTACAAGGTAAGAAAGAGACAGAAAGACTGAAATCTTGTAATACAAGGTACAAACAAAACAAAATTCTACCATTTGTTAGATTACCAAGTTACTATGAGATAGATATAGGACCAAAGTGTTAGTTCTCTAGATTTCTACAAGATTTTTATAGAACACCTCTACCAAAAAATGTTAGTTCTATGTTTACATGAGGTACAAAATTTTAGGGGAAAATGAAAATTGGACTCACAGACGCGCATCATATCCTGATGTTCACTTATTAAAGTGTCTCTCTGATATTTCAGTGATTTCTCACTCTCAGCTTCGAGACTATTTACATAATCTTTATGCTGCTCCTTGAGGTTTGCGATTATTTCTTCCAGATTGGACTTTTGTTCCTGCAACCCTGTTATTTGAGTTTTCTCATTGTTAATCTCTTCTTTAAGGCTTTCTGTCTCTTTAACAAGTTGTGGGGCTGAGAAACCATCGAGCTGCGGAAAAAAAATAAAAAACACACAACATAATAAAAACTCACTGGAATTTAGCTCCCTCTGGTGCTCTTTCTCTAAAGACTCTCTCTGGTACTGCAGGGATTTTTCTGTTTCCACCTCCAAACTATTCAAATATTCTTTATGTTGCACTTTAAGATGTGTAACTATCTCCTCAAGACTTGTTTTATGGCCCTCCAAGGCACATATAATGCCACTGTCAACCGCCTGCTCTTCTCTGAGACATTCCATTTCTTTAAGAAGTACGGGGCACGAAAACCCATCAAGCTGCGGATGTTAAAATTGTTTCAACTACATATTGCAAAGTTGAAACTCATTAAATCTTCATGCAAAATTAGATACAAGTCTTCTACCTTATCCATAAAGAAAATAATTGTAATATGGTTCTCAATAACTGTTATCAGCTTTAATTTCTAAACAAATTTGGACTATCTCTTTTATTATTATTAGTTTTTAAGTGTGAAATGTTAGATGCTTATTTAGCCTAAATGGTTCATAAGCAAATTAAGTATAATCACATTAGCCTTTGACAATCATGTAAACCAAAGCTAAGAGTCTATAACATTAGGCAAATTATATCTTTGTAGTTTAAAGATTTCTTTAAGACAATTATAAAATTGAGCTACCGGAGTGCCATAAAAGAAACAAAAAACATAATCAGACTGCAGGGATTTTGTTGCCTGGCCTTGCTCTTCCCTAGTAAGAAAGACTCAGCAAAAGCTATTAAGCAGTTTACATGCAGAGGTCAGCCAAAGTAACATAAACATAAATGTTCCTCATTTTCTTTTTTTTCCAAAAGAAGACAGAATTTTCTCAAGACTCTTATTTTATTGACAATAAATCTTAAGATAAATCAAAAAGTTTCATCAATATTTAAAAACTTTATGTTTTTCATATCATAAAAAAATGAAATAACATGATTAAAATCTTAAAATTTTGTCTCATAAATACTACAAGATATGCAACATGCATTAAAAATACCAATGTGCGAAGAAAAACTGTGTTTATTACCAAACATTAGATAAGATAACTTGAAACATTATGTCTGAAAGTTTACTTTTTTTTATCATATTAGCATTTAAAATACTCAAATTTTCTCATGAGAAAAAAAAGTAACAGCTTTAAAGCAATCAAATGAACTCGATATATTTTAACATATATGAGGGCTTAAATTATCCTAGTTACCTCTCTTAGTTCCATTCTTAAGTGCTTATAAGGAAGTTAATTGTGAATACCATTTTGTTAATCTACATTGTTGTTTGACTTCGGATTTCATTTTTGCAAAAAGATTATGCAGGAGCAGTCATAATTTATAGATAAATTTGTAGAAAAAGTTATGAAAATGTCTTCTTGTGTATTATTCTTGAACTTTCTCATTTATATTAAGCTATTGTTAATGCAAATTATATAAGGAAAAGAGAAATATATCAACAGTTGTCATTAATTTCTGTTAAAACATGCAAAAGATTGGTATTGAATTTGTAAATTTATATTGCCACAGTATTTAAGATGATTTGACACTTTCAGTAATATTTGGCAATCACATCAGAACAAAAACACCTTTCTATAAGTAACTGCGCCAAAATCATTCAATTTAACCACAAATTTAAAGCATGATAGAAAGTTGACATTTCTATTTTAACATTCAGTAAATATTCCTATAATTCCCCCAACCACTTCCCAACAGATTATTATAGTAACTGCAGACAAAATCATTTCAATCAAAAACCTTTCAGGCTGATTAAATCTTAACCGTCATTATTCACCAATAATTCATTACCACAAATCTCGAAGATTTTTACAGTAATAACTTTAAAGCTACAAAAGCAATTGGGTAACACTATGTCATGGTCACACTGAAATTCAAATCAATTCTTAAAACATAAGAAGTGCATTAACATAAATGATAAATAAATGTAGAATTGTTTTATTTAAACTGCAGCAAGGAATACAATACTTAATTCATTTAAATCAAATAATAAGTAACTCAAGCATTGAATATATTACATAATTCACTTAAATCATAAAACAAATAACAGAAGCATGGATGATATATCATAATTCACATAAATCATTCAGATAAAGGTTATATAATGCACATCTTTTGATATGAAAACACTTAAATGTAGACAATCATTTCATGATGTAATGAACATACTTATTAAGTACTATATTACTTATCATCTTTGTGTATAAAGAGCTAAGAAATATAAAAGTAACTTGATGCCCAAGGGCAACATGTTGAGCCCGCTTTCACATCTGACTTTTAATAATGACCTTGAGCTTTTGATCTAGTCACATGGTTCTGGCATGTAAACATACCGTCTCATGATGTTGAACATTTGTGCAAGGTAATTTGAAATTCCACCAATTAGTGATAGAGTTATGGTGCGGACAGGCTGTTTGGGACCATTCTTTTGCATTTGACCTTAAAGTATGACTTTTGACCGCGCCACAGGTTCTTGCAAATGACACGCCGTCTCATTATTGTGAACATTTGTACTAACTTATTTAAATTCTGAGTTACAACCTGGACAAGTATAATTGGGTGGACAGACACTGGTACATACACTGAACCACCATTGTGACAGCTATATTGAGCTCTCGGCTCGACAAAAAATCAATTGACAATCAAACAACCCTGTTTTAAGCCATTTTTACTGGGAACACAACATACTAATTTTAAACTAAATCAATAAAGGTAATAATGTTATATGAACTAGAAACAGATACATAATTATTTGTATTTATCAAATTTGCCTTATAATAAAGTGCAAACATTACTGATGAAAACTTATGATTTGATTTTTTCAAGATTACAAAATGTAATTTGTTACATTTTAAATTGCATCTACTTGCTTTTTTGTTTTTGTTTTTACACCTGACAAGACTGTTTAATATTATTAATTCAAAGTATTTGTGCATGATATAACCTTTATTATTTTGAAGTATACAAATACACCTGTAACTTACATCATGAGCCAGGTAGTTGACAATACAGGACATGCCATCGAAAGCCAGATTACTTGTCTGTAACTGAAGTTTCACCATGTTAAGTTGTTTTGTCCTCGACTCACACAGGGCCTCAAGTCTTTGTACTTCCTTTGTATGTACATCAGCTAATACTGTTTCTGGGGGCTTGTTCTTCTCTTTGGAATCCTTCTTGCATTTACTCGTTTTGTTACGATTTTGATCTGAAGCAAAAATAATGATGAACATATAATTACAATGCTTTATCTTAATTGATGATATATTAATATTACTTTCTTGCCTCCCTTAATAAGTGGATTTTTGTTTAAATAAATCATGATAGATGTAATAAAAACACAGGTTTACAAAAAAAACACATAATAAAACCTGATAAAAGTCTACGTATATAAGTTATATTACATTTTTATTTCCTAATTTAAGTTAGATTTCTTGCAACATTTAAATTTATGCAATAAAATGGTGTTTTATGTGAAGAATAAAGTGCATCATAAAATCTTGAAATGGAAAGTATAAAATTATTATTATGAAATTTCATGATAAAACAGCAATTTGTGTCAAGAAAGTTTACAAGTATAGTAGTGCCTGAAAAGAAAAATCTACAAAAAATGCCTTCATATCCATCACCAAGCTGACTGTCTGCACAGAATTTGAAACTATTTTACAATATGGATATCATGAATAACTTATAGCACTTGACCCATTATAGAGTATGGCCAATTCACACAAAGAGATGGAGGTTGGCCTCGATCTATACCATGCTGGCATAGGTCTACTGTGGTGCTACTGCTCAGTCAACAACTACATGAACCATAAACATAGAAATATAATGAACTTAAGCTAAAATATAAGTATAAAACATTCAATATCAAGGGAAAATTTCATTATCTAATTGAGGACTTGAATACTATAATGAGAGACTGCTGCAGAAGATAGGTAGGTTTTCTGCATTACTGTTTCATTAATAATTCATTTTATTTACATCAATAGTGAATGATACATACATTATCACATACATATCAAAACAAATGTTAATTTCAAAAAGAATCTATAACAATTTCTCACTTTTTACTTACTGGCCTATTTTTGGAATGAATGAATGAATGAATGAAAACTGTGACTGAATGAATGAACGAACAAATAAATAAATGAATGAATGAATGAATAAATGAAAAAAGTTTAAATGAAGAAACAATTGAATAAACAATTTAACATTAATAAACAAACAAATACTTGAATAAAATAAATTTTGCATCAAATACTTGTATGCAGTAATTTTTCATTACCATCTTGTGAGGCTGTGCCAGCTATAAGCCAAGAGTATTAATATTACAAATTTAAGACAGTTATAACAAGTCAATGAGTATATGCCTAAATAATAGCTACAAATTTCAAACGCTCTGAACATAGAGGACATGGTCAATATCAAAATCCCAGTACTAGTAGTACTGAAATATAATGTTAACACCATTTGATATTATGGCATTGTACAATGGAGATACAAACAAAAAAGAAATGACAAAATCTTCTTTCAGTGAGTTAAGTACAGTAAGCCCATTCAGTGAGCCTATTAAACATGGAGATTGACTCCTCTAACAAGCAATATCATGTGGTAATGACTCTCATTTTATCATACTTTATGAAGTTTATTTACCATGGATCTTTATTGCTCAAGTTATCTTTAGTAAACAGCCTGGACTCAATGAATCACTGGTAACTGTGCAATGTTTATACCAGACATGATGGGATTAAAATGGACTCAATTTTTGAAATACAACATGATCATCTCCTTTAAGTTACTTCATAATCAGAAGCAACCATTATCAATTAAATCTAATTGTATAGCCCAGTTCATACAGAAAGATAACAAAGGGGTAATTAATTCAGCCAAAATCAATGCCAAAGTTGTGGGACTTGATTAGTTTTCAAAACAATACCTTCAGTGTTTAATGAGAAAATGACAAGCTTAATTGTAGTAATATTTGAAGATGGAGGTAACAACAACATATTTTTCTCAAAATGCAATGTTGAAAATCTGTTGTCACCTGAGACTTGTATGGAATTATATACCTTCTAATAGAATGCAAATGTTTCATAAATTTGATATAAGATCACAAAGGAAAATTTAATGTAACATTAGTATGTCACTTAGTGTGGTTGAAAGATCAACATGCACACAGTTGTTAAAATAACAAAAACAATATCATTCATTAAAGTAACAATATTTCAGGAACTAAAAAGAATTTCCTTTGCTGCAATGTCAATATTCTCTTTGTCTACATTAAGAAAGCACTATCATACATCATTGCAGTTCTGCTCACTCTCAAACACTGCAGTTTTTACATGCTGTGTGTCAAATAAATGTTATTTCTCAGCAACCTGCAGGAAGGTTAGCCAACATAACATTACATTATCAGGACAAGCTAACATACATTTCAATTAATTATGGGTGTAACTCCCACCCACTTGCCTATTATAGCCATTACTTGAGAATTCCATGATAAATAAATCTGGAGAAAAAAAATCGAACTTCACAACAGAACAGTTGTTTCTCTCACTATTTAATTCAGAATCATTTAAGCTTAAATATATATGTATTTCAGCCGTAAAAAGTAAGCTTGAAGCTACCTCGAATACAGGAACTCAAAAGTTCATAAATTTTTACCAAAGAATCTACAGCATCTCAATAGTGTTTTATTTATATATTATAGAGATGGGGCATTTGAGAGAAAGTTCAACTTTTATGACAATTACTGATACATACAATATATGTCAAAACTCCTGTGATTTGAATCTATCACAGTCAAGTCTGCCTTTATTTGTGATCAGGTCTGACTTGTGGAAATAAGCACTATTTTGTGTCCTTTATTAAGGAGATATGGTTGTGACCTTGTCTCAAACCCATGATGACTCTAGGTTTAATTAGAGGTAGACATCTTTTCTACTCAACCATTATAGCACTGTGTCTCTTTTCAAATCACATTCATTATAATATATTTAAGTGAATTGCAAAACACTTTATTTAGTGAAATAAACTTTGTTTGGTGAACTTTAACATGATAATTTATGAAGTGTTATCTATGAGGTATATTTTAAGCATGTCTTAGAAACTGCTAAATACATTAGATTTTTACCATTCTAACCAAATCTTCCTGTTTACTGTGATAATAATGGCAACTGTGTTCCCCACCTGGAACTTCAATTAAGCACAGTGCAAGATGATAGAAAAATACCCATTAAATTAGGCATCTGATTATCACTGGAAAAAAAATCTTGAGAGAAAAAAAAATGAAAATCTGAAAAAACTGAGATTTGTTCTATCAGCGAGGAGCAGGTGATTAAGGAGGTAGTGGAACCCTGGTAGGTGAGCTTACACACCAACTGCCACCTACAATTTCTTGGTGAAAATGTATATAGAAACTAACAAATATGTTAGGTAATTATTTGATTGACAAAAACATAAAGCTTAACATGTCATCTTTTTTCTATAGACCTCATTTTCATCTTTAAAAGAAAACCCTAATATTAATAAAATAGCAAGAAGAACCAAGACCTGTAAGACACATCAGCTAAATGTGTACATAATTATTTCAATGAATGACAGTCCTTGACTAAGACCGGACACAACCATAATTCTATTCACAATCATACAATGACTTTGGCATACAAGTCTGAGGTCGACATATGATCTGGACACTCGATTCTTGGACATGCAACAAAATTATCATGTCTAACTCAATAATGATAAAGTTATTTTTAAATCTATCAAGAAATAACGGAATTGTTGACCAGGCATTATCATCCATGTTTATTTGAGAAAAGTCCACATCATGACTTAAGAACTGATTCTTCAGTGCCACTAACTGTCATTATAATGTCAACACATTTATGTCAAATTACTTAAAATGAATCTTGGAATGACAGAATTGTTGACCTGACACAACCATTATAGCACTTTTATTAAAAATTTCTTTGAAGAGTAAGTGTGACCTTGACCTTTGACCTACAAACCATATACAATCCTATTATGCTTAACACATTTATGTAAAATTATTTCAAAATCTGCTATGGACTTGACAAAAAGCGGACAAACAGATGGATGGACAATAATCAAACATGGCATAAAATGGTTAACAGCAGAAATGATTATAATTACTGTCTTATAATGCTACTAATTAAGTCCACATAATTCGCTTATTATAGAGACTCTTTAACATTTATTCTGCTGAATTTGAGTAAAAGAATTTTAATATTTTTCCTGTGACTTTGGAACTCAGTCCCATATATAAACTTTCAAAATTTGAAATGATATAAAACAGTAAACAGTAGAGAGCCTGGTATTACTGACTGGACAGACTTGCAGTTCTTAGGCCTCATTGCAGTTTCTAGTCCTTGCAGTAGCAAGTGACAATTTAATAGGAGTTTGTTTGTTACTGCACTAAGATTGCAAATTATTTTCTACTTTCTCATTGGATTTATGTGGCTCTGAAAGATGTTTTATAATAAATCAGAATGATTCCCAGCAAATCTATATGCATCTTGCACATTTTGTTGCAGGTGTTAACAAATATACTCCTAGATATTAGGAGCTTGCATTAAATCGCCTATTTGATTTAAGAACCAAAACTACAAATTGAAATCAATTGACAATTTTACATGTTTAATGAATTCAATCAAATACATTGGCTTTTTTTTTAAAATCTTGTTTTTTCCTTCAGTCAAAATCTGCAGACTGCATACATATACGGAAGATATAGAATATGACCAGTACTTAGTACTTAGTCATGAATTGGACATGAGCTAAAAATCTAAAGTATGAAGAAACCACAGATAGTTCATTGGCTATCCAGTATTTTAGATTTCTTTTCTATAATGCTATCAGTCCCTTTGAATCTAAACTTTTCCTCTCAACTTACAACTGTTTAAAATCTAACTATAAAGAAAAGTAGATTACAAACAGATCAATAATTGAGGATCGATCGCTTTTCAAAAGGTTAATATATCTTCTGTAAATATACAACCCATTTTATAGGGAAATCAAAGCAAATAGAAACAAGTCTATTTAAACAAAAAAACCACAACACACAATTAAGCTGAAACACTCGGTGCTTGGATGTCCCTACTAACCTGACACCATTTCAGAAGCATGATTTAGAACCACAGGAACACAAAGAAATTTAAATGAGAAAATCACAACTTGGTATCAACTCAATTCAATTGAAACTTTCATTGTTCCAGTGTTGAAAATACAGAAAACCAGAAAAATTAAAGGCCATTAATATTATTATTATATTATAATGATCATAACCAATCCTTTTTTAAATATATATAGAAAATAATCATAGGAATACTTGTAGCCTGGATTGTTTAAACCTTACAGTGCTAATGAACTGAAAGTTAAAAACATTTACTACCAGTATACGAGCCGGGCCAGCCTGTACCTCCCTGCAGTCTGACCCAAGGCTCTTTACCAGTGACTTGCCAACTAAATAAATTTATCTTGATATACCCATTACTGATAATGAAAAATTCTAAAAATAGAAGCTAGAAAAGTCCATTTAAGTCCAATATAGACGATATAGGGTTAAAACCGATTTTATATCATATTGGTATATTGGTTGTCCTAGCATTAAGAAATACAAATGTAATTAATTAAATGGACAAATTGGTAAATTTAAACCATCCTTACCATAACAGTTACTGTGTCTTGTTATCACATACTCTTTCCTCCCTTCTATTGGGATTCCTGCTTTACAGGAACGAAGAACAACCTCAACTCTCGGAACTTTCCCTCGGATTCGATCCATAGAGAAATTTCCTATCCAAGAATTTCCCATTTCTTTCTTCAAACTTAATTGAATTATCTCCCTTTAAACTTCACACATACCAGTACTCCTTTGTACTTTTGGATTATCATCATTAATATAACAATATTTTTTTCACCATAAAAAAGCATAAAATCAAAATTAGAAAAATCACCGCATGGTTATTCCAAGTCCTTCAAGTTTGAAGCAGTCAATAATGAAAAAAAATTTCCAAACAATGAAAACAATTATTCTGAAAATTTTTTAAACTGCACTGAATAAAAAGTTATCTAGACATCAAAAGCTTTGTCCTCTTTTAAATGAAGCATGATTAAATAAAACTTAAGTATACAGTTTATTTGAAAAAAAACGTAAAAAAAAATCAGTTTTTTTCTGATAATCTTACAAAGTATGACAATGAATTATCTTATCAGTGTATTTTCTGTCAACACACAGGGACAAAAACTTGGTCAATCAAATATCCTATTGCTGAACTCTTCAAA